CCCACCAGTCCTTGTTTTACCCCCTTAATGCCGAGCGCCAGACAGGGTAACAACAAGTACAATCTTTTTAACGTCTTTTTGTATGACGCGGCCCGGGATCGAACCCTGGACCTTCCGCTCTCCGGGCGGACGCTCTACCACAAGACCACGGAGGCGGTCGAATTGGTGAGTGATTGATTGATTGAGTAAATGTATTAGTGCTAGTGTGAATGAGTTAGTGATTGATTGAGTAAATGTGTAAGTGCTGGTGTGAATGGGTGAGTGATTGATTGAGTGAATGTGTTAGTGCTAGTGTGAATGAGTGATTGAGAAAATGTGTTAGTGCTGGTGTGAATGAGTGAGTGATTGAGTAAATGTGTTAGTGCTGGTGTGAATGAGTGATTGAGTAAATGTGTTAGTGCTGGTGTGAATGGGTGAATGAGTGATTGAATTAATGTGTTAGTGCTGGTGTGAATGGGTGAGTGATTGATTGATTGAGTAAATGTATGAAATGTTAGTGCTGGTGTGAATGAGTGATTGAGTAAATGTGTTAGTGCTGGTGTGAATGAGTGATTGATTGAATAAATGTGTTAGTGCTGGTGTGAATGAGTGATTGATTGAGTAAATGTGTTAGTGCTGGTTTGAATGGGTGAGTGATTGATTGATTGAGTAAATGTATTAGTGCTAGTGTGAATGAGTTAGTGATTGATTGAGTAAATGTGTTAGTGCTGGTGTGAATGAGTGATTGATTGAGTAAATGTGTTAGTGCTGGTGTGAATGAGTGATTGAGTAAATGTGTTAGTGCTGGTGTGAATGGGTGATTGAGTAAATGTGTTAGTGCTGGTGTGAATGAGTGATTGAGTAAATGTGTTAGTGCTGGTGTGAATGAGTGATTGAATAAATGTGTTAGTGCTGGTGTGAATGGGTGAGTGATTGAGTAAATGTGTTAGTGCTGGTGTGAATGGGTGATTGAGTAAATGTGTTAGTGCTGGTGTGAATGAGTGATTGAGTAAATGTGTTAGTGCTGGTGTGAATGGGTGAGTGATTGAGTAAATGTGTTAGTGCTGGTGTAAATGGGTGAGTGATTGAGTAAATGTGTTAGTGCTGGTGTGAATGAGTGAGTGATTGAATAAATGTGTTAGTGCTGGTGTAAATGGGTGAGTGATTGAGTAAATGTGTTAGTGCTGGTGTGAATGGGTGATTGAGTAAATGTGTTAGTGCTGGTGTGAATGAGTGATTGAGTAAATGTGTTAGTGCTGGTGTGAATGAGTGATTGAGTAAATGTGTTAGTGCTGGTGTGAATGGGTGATTGAGTAAATGTGTTAGTGCTGGTGTGAATGAGTGATTGAGTAAATGTGTTAGTGCTGGTGTGAATGAGTGAGTGAGTGAGTAAATGTGTTAGTGCTGGTGTGAATGAGTGAGTGATTGAATAAATGTGTTAGTGCTGGTGTGAATGGGTGATTGAGTAAATGTGTTAGTGCTGGTGTGAATAAGTGATTGAGTAAATGTGTTAGTGCTGGTGTGAATGAGTGATTGAGTAAATGTGTTAGTGCTGGTGTGAATGAGTGATTGAATAAATGTGTTAGTGCTGGTGTGAATGGGTGATTGATTGAGTAAATGTGTAAGTGCTGGTGTGAATGGGTGAGTGATTGATTGAGTAAATGTATTAGTGCTAGTGTGAATGAGTTAGTGATTGATTGAGTAAATGTGTTAGTGCTGGTGTGAATGGGTGAGTGATTGATTGAGTGAATGTGTTAGTCCTAGTGTGAATGAGTGATTGATTGAGTAAATGTGTTAGTGCTGATGTGAATGAGTGAGTGATTGATTGAGTAAATGTGTTAGTGCTGGTGTGAATGAGTGATTGATTGAGTAAATGTGTTAGTGCTGGTGTGAATGGGTGATTGATTGATTGAGTGAAGGTGTTAGTGCTGGTGTGAATGAGTGAGTGATTGATTGAGTGAATGTGTTAGTGCTGATGTGAATGTGTGAATGATTGATTGAGTAAATGTGACAGTGCTGGTGTGAATGAGTGATTGATTGAGTAAATGTGTTAGTGCTGGTGTGAATGAGTGAGTGATTGATTGAGTGAATGTGTTAGTGCTGGTGTGAATGAGTGAGGGATTGATTGAGTGAATGTGTTAGTGCTGGTGTGAAAGAGTGAGTGATTGGGTTAATGTGTTAGTGCTGGTGTGAATGAGTGAGTGATTGATTGAATAAATGTGTTAGTGCTGGTGAGAATGAGTGAGTGATTGATTGAGTGAAGGTGTTAGTGCTAGTATGAATGATAGAGTAATTGATTGAGTGAATGTGTTTGTGCTAGTGTGAATGAGTGAGTGATTGATTGAGTGAATGCGCTAGTGCTAGTGTGAATGAGTGAGTGAATTAGTGAGTGATCGTGTGAATGAGTGAGTGATTGATCGATTAAAGAATACATTAGGTTCACGTTTACCAAAATTACGAACATAGAACATATGATACATAATCCATTTTGGAATTCGAACCCGGAATTACGACGTGATAAGCGAACGTTTGAACCATAAGGTTATTCCAAAACCCACTGATCGGTGCCTCATTCAGTGTCTGCTATCTTGTCCTTTGTATATAAGTTATTATAATATGGGGAGAAATAAAAATATATTTTTTTTAAAGGATACCACAAATGAGGTAAGGTGAGGTGAGGTGAGGTGAGGTGAGGTGAGGTGAGGTGAGGTGAGGTGAGATTAATAGGGTTTGACGTCACGTTCAAAACTATTAGACTTAAACCGCGACGTTCATGCACGTGTGTGTATGTGTGTGGCTTCTTGTACTAGTCCGGACTAATGCCGATTTTATAGTACCTGACCACTGATATACCATGACGCAGTTTAACATGAATACCCCACTCAGACACGGTACACTAACTCCGAGCCGACCAGTCCTTGTTTTATCCCCTAAATGCCTAGTGCCAGGCAGAGTAACAACAAGTACCACCTTTAACGTCTTTAGGTATGACGCGGCCGGGAATGGAACCCCGGACCTACGGCTCTCCGGGCGCACGCTCTACCACTAGACCACGGAGGCGGCCCTACCACACGGGACAACAGTAGTTACTTAACCCAGCAAGATCTACCCCTTGAATCGAACACACAACGCTGTTGAGGCGAAACATATAACGTATTGAGTGTTGGTACCACCAGCTTCGGCAGAACGGAATTCCAGGCAATTAATACATCTCGTTAACATGGTTGCTCTCAGTGAACATTTATTTGCTTTTGAAATGAACGTGAACGTTGTACGCCTTGTATCTTGTAGCTAGATCCTCGTACAGTCACCCAGTATCCTACAGCCCAGCACGGGGATACTATTTTGGCGAAATGTAACTCTGGCATTTGCGTGTTCATCCTTATTATATGCTTATCCTATTTTTAAAAAAATGAAACGAGAAAGTGTTTTTTTCCATCTCAATACATACAACGGATCGTGGCCTTCAGATTCAGCCTTCCCGTTGGAAATGATTTCTCCTGGATAGTTGATGAATTTCCAATTTCCTACCAGCATCTTTTAAATCCGTGGTGCATAGGTTTGTTTTTTTAAAAAAAAGAGGATATATCAGGAAAGGACTCTCTTCAAGGCATCTGAGTGAGGAGGAGTGGCGGTGAAAACAATGCATTATGTATCTGAAAGACCTCCCATCCCCCCTAAGTAGCCCCCTTCCCTCCCCCCAGCGCTCTTACGTCAGACAGACTCCGATGTACTGCCAGAATGCAGAGTGCGAGGACATTTTCCCATTTGACCAGGAAAAAAATTTCGATTCCTCGTGGGCATGGTGGGATTGATTTTATTAGGGTCGAGAAATCCACGGACGATATTGGTCATTAGGACCAGTGGTAGTTTTTTAGGCCACTGACCGACAAAGCTGGTGGGGAGCGTGGGTCATTAGCAGTGAGAGGATGAGATCGATGGGTATTACGTCTCACTTTCCCATGTAAATGCTGCCTTAGGACGCAGGTCAACTGCCGATTGCAGGCAACCCCGTTAGTCAGTGGAAGATAAACTACACATGTAGCTGCTTCTCGGCAGATTACTTCGACTACAGCACGGTATGGGTTACATGTGCAATGATTCAGGACGAACAGTGGAATGCGAACTAGTGGATCGAAAAAAATGATTTTATCATTGTATAATTGTTTAGTCATATAATAGATTGCAATATTTTGCATAAAATTCGATATTATTATATTATTGCATTCATACTACTTCGTCAAAGAACATTCAGATTACATGGTTAAGGAACATTCATACTACATGATTAAAGAACATTCAGAACACATGGTCAAAGAACATTTAAACTAAATGATCAAAGAACATTCGGTTCACAAAGTCAAAGAAAACTTGGACTACATGGCCAAAGGACATTCAGACTACACGGTAAAACAACGTTTTGGACACACGGTCAAAGAACATTCAGATTATATGGTGAACGAAAAATTTGATCCAATGATCAAAGACTATTTTGATCTCATGGTCAAAGAGCATTCAGACTACGTGGTCAAAGAACTTAGCATGGTCATCTCACTCTGGGAAACACGCCCTTTTCCATCACCCAACTCTGGGAAACACGCCGTATTTCCCCTCCTCACTTTGGGAAACACACCCCAGTTTCCTCACCTCACTCTGGGAAACACGCCCCTGTTTCCTCACCTCACTCTCGGAAACACGCCCCTGTTTCCTCACCTCACTCTGGGAAACACGCCCCTGTTTCCTCACCTCACTCTGGGACACATGCTCTATTCCATCACCCCACTCTGGGAAACACGACTATTCCATCACCCCACTCTGGGAAACACGCTCTATTCCATCATCCCACTCTGGGAAACACGCCCCTGTTTCCTGACCTCACTCTGGGACACACGCTCTATTCCATCAGCCCACTCTGGGAAACACGCCTATTCCATCACCCCACTCTGGGAAACACGCCTATTCCATCACCCCATTCTGGGAAACACGCCCCTGTTTCCTCACCCCACTCTGGGACACACGCTCTATTCAATCACCCCACTCTGGGAAACACGCTCTATTCCATCACCCCACTCTGGGAAACACGCCCCTGTTTTCCTCACCTCACTCTGGGAAACACGCCGGTGTTCCACCTCACTCTGGGAAACACGCCCCTGTTTCCTCACCTCACTCTCGGAAACACGCCCCTGTTTCCTCACCTCACTCTGGGAAACTCGCCCCTGTTTCCTCACCTCACTCTGGGACACACGCTCTATTCCATCACCCCACTCTGGGAAACACGACTATTCCATCACCCCACTCTGGGAAACACGCTCTATTCCATCATCCCACTCTGGGAAACACGCCTATTCCATCACCCCACTCTGGGAAACACGCCTATTCCATCACCCCATTCTGGGAAACACGCCCCTGTTTCCTCACCCCACTCTGGGACACACGCTCTATTCCATCACCCCACTCTGGGAAACACGCTCTATTCCATCACCCCACTCTGGGAAACACGCCCCTGTTTCCTCACCGCACTCTGAGAAACACGCCCCTGTTTCCTCACCTCACTCTGGGAAACACGCCTCTGTTTCCTCACCTCACTCTGGGACACACGCCCCTGTTTCCTCACCTCACTCTGGGACACACGCTCTATTCCATCACCCCACTCTGAGAAACACGCCCCTGTTTCCTCACCTCACTCTGGGAACCACGCCCCTGTTTCCTCACCTCACTCTGGGACACAGGCTCTATTCCATCACCCCACTCTGGGAAACACGCTCTATTCCATCACCCCACTCTGGGAAACACGCCCCTGTTTCCTCACCTCACTCTGGTACACGCCCCTGTTTCCTCACCTCACTCTGGGACACACGCTCTATTCCATCACCCCACTCTGGGAAACACCCTCTATTCCATCATCCCACTCTGGGAAACACGCCCCTGTTTCCTCATCCCACTCTGGGACACACGCTCTATTCCATCACCCCACTCTGGGACACACGCTCTATTCCATCACCCCACTCTGGGAAACACGCCCCTGTTTCCTCAAATTACCCATGGAAACACGCCCCTGTTTCCTCACCTCACTCTGAGAAACACGCCCCTGTTTCCTCACCTCACTCTGGGAAACACGCTCTATTCCATCACCCCACCTTGGAAACTCGCTCTATTCCATCACCCCACCTGGGAAACACGCTCTATTCCATCACCCCACTCTGGGACACACGCTCTATTCCATCACCCCATTCTGGGAAACACGCCCCTGTTTCCTCACCCCACTCTGGGACACACGCTCTATTCCATCACCCCACTCTGGGACACACGCTCTATTCCATCACCCCACTCTGGGAAACACGCCCCTGTTTCCTCAAATTACCCATGGAAACACGCCCCTGTTTCCTCACCTCACTCTGAGAAACACGCCCCTGTTTCCTCACCTCACTCTGGGAAACACGCTCTATTCCATCACCCCACCTGGGAAACTCGCTCTATTCCATCACCCCACCTGGGAAACACGCTCTATTCCATCACCCAACTCTGGGACACACGCTCTATTCCATCACCCCACTCTGGGAAACACGCCCCTGTTTCCTCAAATCACTCTGGGAAACTCGCCCCTGTTTCCTCACCTCACTCTGAGAAACACGCCCCTGTTTCCTCACCTCACTCTGGGAAACACGCTCTATTCCATCACCCCACCTGGGAAACTCGCTCTATTCCATCACCCCACACTGGGAAACACGCTCTATTCCATCACCCCACTCTGGGAAACACGCCTATTCCATCACCCCACACTGCGAAAAACGCCCCTGTTTCCTCACCCCACTCACGGAAACACGCTCTATTCCATCACCCCACTCTGGGAAACACGCTCTATTTCATCACCCCACTCTGGGAAACACGCTCTATTCCATCACCCCACTCTGGGAAACACGCCCTATTCCATCACCCCACTCTGAGAAACACGCCCTATTCCATCACCCCACTCAGGGAAACACGCCCTTTTCCATCACCCCACTCTGAGAAACACGCCCTTTTCCATCACCCCACTCTGGGAAACACGCTCTATTCCATCACCCTACTCTGGGAAACACGCCCTATTCCATCACCCCACTCTGGGAAACACGCTCTATTCCATCACCCCACCTGGGAAACACGCCCTATTCCATCACCCCACTCTGGGAAACACGCCCTATTCCATCACCCCACTCAGGGAAACACGCCCTTTTCCATCACCCCACTCTGAGAAACACGCCCTTTTCCATCACCCCACCTGGGAAACACGCTCTATTCCATCACCCTACTCTGGGAAACACGCCCTATTCCATCACCCCACTCTGAGAAACACGCCATATTCCCTCACCCCACTCAGAGAAACATGCCCTTTTCCCCCTTCAGGGTCGGTCGGGTAGCCTCGTGGTTAAAGCGTTCGCTCGTCACGCCGAAGACCCGGGTCCGATTCCCATATGGGTACAATGTTGTGAAGCCCATTTCTGGTATCCCCCGCCGTGATTATGCTGGAATATTGAGAAAAGTGACGTAAAACCATACTCACTCACTATTCCCCAGCACGGGTAACTCACTCGATCCCTCATTCCAGTTAACTCACTCTATCCCTCATTCCAGTTAACTCATTCTATCCCTCATTCCAGTTAACTCACTCTATCCTTCATTCCAGATAACTCACTCTATCCCTCATTCCAGATAACTCACTCTATCCCTCATTTCAGATAACTTACTCTATCCCTCATTCCAGTTAACTCACTCTATCCCCTTATTCCAGATAACTCACTCTATCCCCCATGCCAGTTAACTCACTCTATCCCTCATTCCAGATAACTCACTCTATCCCTCATTCAAGTTAACTCACTCTATCCCTCATTCCAGATAACTCACTCTATCCCTCATTCCAGTTAACTCACTCTATCCCTCATTCCAGTTAACTCACTCTATCCCTCATTCCAGTTAACTCACTCTATCCCTCATTCCAGATAACTCACCCTATCCCTCATTCCAGTTAACTCACTCTATCCCTCATTCCAGATAACTCACTCTATCCCTCATTCCAGTTAACTCACTCTATCCCTCATTCCAGTTAACTCACTCTATCCCTCATTCCAGTTAACTCACTCTATCCCTCATTCCAGATAACTCACTCTATCCCTCATTCCAGATAACTCACCCTATCCCTCATTCCAGTTAACTCACTCTATCCCTCATTCCAGATAACTCACTCCATCCCTCATTCCAGATAACCCACTCTATCCCTCATTCCAGATAACTCACTCTATCCCTCATTCCAGATAACTCACTCTATCCCTCATTCTAGTTAACTCACTCTATCCCTCATTCCAGATAACTCACTCTATCCCTCATTCCAGTTAACTCATTCTATCCCTCATTCCAGATAACTCACTCTATCCCTCATTCCAGATAACTCACTCTATCCCTCATTCCAGTTAACTCACTCTATCCCTCATTCAAGTTAACTCACTCTATCCCTCATTCAAGTTAACTCACTCTATCCCTCATTCCAAATAACTCACTCTATCCCTCATTCCAGTTAACTCACTCTATCCCTCATTCCAGATAACTCACTCTATCCCTCATTCCAGATAACTCACTCTATCCCTCATTCCAGTTAACTCACTCTATCCCTCATTCAAGTTAACTCACTCTATCCCTCATTCAAGTTAACTCACTCTATCCCTCATTCCAAATAACTCACTCTATCCCTCATTCCAGTTAACTCACTCTATCCCTCATTCCAGATAACTCACTCTATCCCTCATTCCAGATAACCGACTCTATCCCTCATTCCAGATAACTCACTCTATCCCTCATTCCAGATAACTCACTCTATCCCTCATTCCAGTTAACTCACTCTATCCCTCATTCAAGTTAACTCACTCTATCCCTCATTCCAGTTAACTCACTCTATCCCTCATTCCAGATAACTCACTCTATCCCTCATTCCAGATAACCGACTCTATCCCTCATTCCAGATAACTCACTCTATCCCTCATTCCAGATAACTCTCTCTATCCCTCATTCCAGATAACTCACTCTATCCCTCATTCCAGATAACTCACTCTATCCTTTATTCCAGTTAACTCACTCTATCCCTCATTCAAGTTAACTCACTCTATCCCTCATTCCAGTTAACTCACTCTATCCCTCATTCCAAATAACTCACTCTCTCCCTCATTCCAGTTAACTCACTCTATCCCTCATTCTAGATAACTCACTCTATCCCTCATTCCAGTTAACTCACTCTATCCCTCATTCCAGTTAACTCACTCTATCCCTCATTCCAGTTAACTCACTCTATCCCTCATTCCAGTTAACTCACTCTATCCCTCATTCCAGTTAACTCACTCTATCCCTCATTCCAGATAACTCACTCTATCCCTCATTCCAGTTAACTCACTCTATCCCTCATTCCAGTTAACTCACTCTATCCCTCATTCCAGTTAACTCACTCTATCCCTCATTCCAGTTAACTCACTCTATCCCTCATTCCAGTTAACTCACTCTATCCCTCATTCCAGGTAACTCACTCTATCCTTCACCCCACTCCAGGTAACTCAATCGATCCCCCATCCCATTCTTTCCCTCACCCCACGATGAATACACCCTGTTACCAGAGCGTGGTGCGTCCTCTTGCCTCACCTTCATACAGCATCCCGTTCACCTTGTCCAGCACTATGTCAATGTACAATGAAAGATGTTATTTTCAGCCGTCCAGACAGCATTTATGTAGTTCATCCCCAAGCCTCTAACACGGGTCCGTATAGGTATTCACAGTCGGTCTTACCATCCCCTGTTGGAAGAAGTCCTCGTGAGTCTTCAGATGATAAGATTGAAGTCTAGTTTTTAAAGTACAGAAATGCATCTCTTGATGTAAATCATCTCCTTTCTCACAGCTTTATCCTTCATTAGGCGCTCCATCTTCTGTTATCAAGACGCTACAGTTTTAGCGAAAATTATTTTCTTAAATGACATCATCTGGCTACTTTTTTTCTCGTATGTATTTCATCTATCCCTTGCATACATTTATAAAAAGTTATTGCAATCCTATGGAGGTTGTCCAGTTGTGTGGTGGACTCACGTAGAGATTAAACTATTCACTGCTCATGCGTTTAGGATGTATCCAGGTCGACGATGTTACCTAGCATTTGCTTCCATAACCGCCCGGCATCATCAAAGTCGGCCTCGTTAGTCGTGATTTATTTCTAGCGATAACTATACCATCTTAGACTTTAACAACATAAATCGAAC